TTCAGTTGGAGATCTATGCAACTCATGTGGTGCAATTTTTATTGGGTTTTTAATGTATTTTGAGAGAAAAACAAAAGTAAGTTTTGTTTTGGCTTCTTCCTTTAAAAATTTTTATTACCAAGTTTTGTTTGATTATTAAGCTATTGAGCTTGAATATGTTTGATAGTATTTCTATGTTGTTTGGTTATGTTTAAAAACCATTTTAGTTTTTTCATGCAAATTTTGTTCTTTCTCCTATCTATTTTGAGAGCAAAATGAGGTTGCCCATATTCTTGTTGAAGTTAATAGTTATATATATTATGAATGTCTATGGTCTTATTCATTACATATAGAATTTTGGATGAGTATTATTTGATTGTACTTACTGTTTTATTCTATAGAAATTGAAAAGTAACTTTATTCATTTCTATTTCATTTTTTGTTTGTTTGGTTGCATATTTGTTGGCTAAGCTTAATCTTTAATCTTTCTAGGTTTATTGTTTTTGGTGCTTCAATATTCTGTTTTTAGAGTTGTAATTTTATATTTTCTCTTCTTGTACTTTTACTAGAATGGAAATTAGAACTTACTATTTCTTGTTTTTGTATTTTCTTTTAATCCAAGATAATGGAAAATAAAGGATGTTGAGAATCTCTCAACCTTCAAAGAAATTTTTTTATTTATATAGATTGATGGATTGAGTGTTGTATGAATATTTTTGGATTGATGTTGACAGGATAAATTGCATATTTTCAACTCCCTATCCAAACTCAAACTATTTATAAATTTTTTGTGTATCTGTATAGGTCCTATAGTAATTTTTTATAACGATGATGTATATATTTTGGAGCTCTAAATTTGTTTGTAACCTCCAAAAACACTTTGAACCTGAATTCGAATTCAAGTTTTATATTTGAATTTTAATTTTGAATTCGAGATGAGTTTTAAACTTAAATATATTAATGTAAATCGAGTCTAATTGAAGAAAAGCTCAATTTCTTTAATGGATTCGACTCTTACTAGGAAGATAATCAATTCATAATTTTAACGTAATGTATGATTTCAATTTAAATATTTTGAAATGTACTAATTTAAACTAAAAAAACTATTTATCAAAATGAATTTAAGCTTGGGGTGCTATAATTTGGCCAATATTTTCTCTACTTATCTTTTATTATTTATTTTTTATTTTTTCCAATATTATTTTTTTACAGGACAAAAGCTTACGCTTTTTTTTTTATCTTTTTAGCTATTTAGGTAATTAGAAGGCAAAGGAGAGTAAGTAATTGGATAAAATTTCAAATAAATTTAGAATTATTAATTTATATACCAATAGTAAAAATTTTAAACTCTAAAGTTTGTTTATGTAATTTTAGTCTATTAATTTATTGAATCTTATTGTCAAAGAAAAAACATAAAACATTTAATAGAATTACATTCCATAAATCTACACCATTTTCCCCCTATTCCACTTACCAATCAAAGATAATGTTTGGTTGGACGGAATGGTCATGCCTCAAAGTGGGCATTCTAAGAGAACCTTGAATAGCCAATACCAAGTTTCCTCTTAATAATGGTTGTTTAGAACTAATGGAAATTGGAAAAAAAAATTTAATTAGACAAAAATACCTTTTCAAATTTCAAAAATTAATACTATATAATGTAAAATATTTTCATTTCTTAAGTTTTTTTTTCTTTCTCCACTCATCTTCTTCCTTTCTTTTTCTCTCTCTACATTACTCCCACCATTAGAGGCCGGTAGTGGTGGTGGCAACACTGGTGCTGGTTATGCGAAGGGTTGCTTAAACATTTCTTTGTTGGTCATGTTAGAGTGCTAGAGGGGGTAAATAGTACTAAAAATTTTCTATTCAACCTTTTAGAGCTTGAAGAGTACTTAATCAACTAGATGAAGGGAAGGATTAGAACTTGTTGGAATTACAAGACAGCAAGTAAAGAAGGGTAAAGAGAAATGGACAACGTAAGAGTATTTATAGTGATTTGATCTCCTTGACTTGCATCCACTACTTTAATCTCCAAATCAAAGATTTTCAACCCAACTTCACTAAACTAATGAAATTAACAACTTTCACTAAGCTTTTACAAAGTGAGTTTTTAACCCAAGCTCTAATCCTTTATAATAATATTTAGAGTGCTTCCTACACTCTAATTTTTCCAGAAAAAGAAGTACAATTAAGTATCTTTATAAGTCTAGATAAATTACGATCAAGCTCAAACTTTTTTTTTTCGGATTTGTAATGAAGAACAAGTGTTTTTAATGAAGAATATTTGACTTTTTGTTTGAAGTATTTTTTTTCTTTTCAAATCTACTTTCTTTGACCATTGGAGTTTTCTTTTATACTTGGGGAGTTACATTTTTCTGTCAGAGATAGTTAGTCATTAAAAACAACTCTGATCCACTTTTAGATGTTATTTTGTCCTCTAGTATTTAAATTCAAACAAGCGCCAGACTTCGGCTAATCAATTACAAGTGGTTGTAACTGATTATAGCTTCTCTGCCTTGCATTATTTTGCTACTACGTTTGTTACTCTAATCGATTATAGGAGGTTCTAATCGATTAAGGGTTTTCTGTCTTCATACTTTTTTCTTCAATAGACTTCCTCTAATTGGTTAGCTCTTCCTTTAACTGACTGTAGCTTTTCTTCCTTCAATCATAACCATTTAAAACTAGCTTTAATTGACTAGAAGATCTTTAGATTTTGAACTTCTCTATTGTGGCTCCCTTTAACGGTCTAATAACTTTATTATATAAAGTTATTTTGACACATTTTGGAGGCTTAAATAGTTATAAAGTTATTTTGACACATTTTGGAGGCTTAAATAGTTATAAAGTTATTTTGACACATTTTGGAGGCTTAAATAGTTAGATATTTGAGATTTTAGGTACGAATAGTAGCATTTTAAGTATTTTTTCAATTTAAGTTTGAATTACATTTTGAGTAGTTAATTTAAGTTATTTTAGTTAAATTTTATATTATTTTGTTTTAAATTACTGTAGGAGTAGTATTGATAATTTCTCTTATTATTTTTGTAGGAAGTTTAATGCAAAAGGCTCATTTGATGAAAATCTGTGTAAGTATGGTAATAGCTTTATTTGTACATATTATGGTATTTTAACCATATCTTTGACTACAGAACTAGAAATGAAGTGATTCTTCAACCACTGGACTTCTAAGAGGAAGGGCTACAACTTTTATGTTTACCACTTTATCTAGTTCAAATTGGCTCATGGTCAAAATATTTGTCTAATTTGAAGTATTGCAACAGTACACATGGATTGAACATGATGTAGTTTTTGCAGCATATATTTCAATCTAGACGTCCAATTGACACGATTCTTTATCCATTGGAAGTTAAGAGAAAGGGCTACAACTTTTATGAGTTTTTCCAGTTTAGAATAAATCAGGGTAAAAATCACATTCAAAGTTGATAGCCCGCTATAGCGCTAGTGAAAGGAAGCTCACCATACAATTTTCCCGAGAGATTAGCACTGCAGCATTGGAGAAGTGGTGCTGCAGTGCTACTGTAGTAAAAAACTAGCACCACGACTTTAAGAAATCAATGCCACAGCATTGGGTGATTTTTCAAAAATAAAAAATTTTATGAAATTTTAGAAATTAGGTTACATGGAGCCTATTTAAGGGATCTTTTTCAGAGGTTTAAAGGAAGAGGTAGCAACCAACTATTTTGGAGATTTGGAGCCAAGAACAATACAAGAAAACAAGAGAATTTGAGAGAGAATTGAGATTGCCAAGCTTCAACACTTTTGTATTTTTTTTTTGTTTTCTTTGACTTGGATTCATGGCTAAATTTCTTTAGATGTTTTTATTAGTTATTATTTGCTAAATTATCTTTCTAGGATTGTGGTGGATTTTAACATATAGTCTGAATACTAGTTTCTCTTTTATTTATCATTAATGGATGTAGTTTTACTTATTCAAATCTATTTTTAATACTTTTAATTGTTTGGTCAATAATTAACTGATTTGTGAATCTAATTGAGATTTGATAAAGAGATTTTAAATTAGATTAAGGTTTGAATAGTATATGTTCACATCACTTAGGTGATTTGATTCGCTATTCGGATAGACATACGCCAATTTTCACATATAATCACATTAGAATACTTGCTTAATGAACTTAATTTAATTGATTCCTATAGATATCTAGTGAATTGATTAAGTTAGGTATTTGTATAAGCAACTCGACGAAAACTTGTCCATAGTTTTGGACTCTAGGTTAGTAAAATCACCCAAGAAATATAAATAACAAGAAAAGCAGATATCAGATGAAATGTTCAATAAACTCATAATCTTAGGTCTTTAATATACTTATTTTCTTAACTTATTTAGTTTGTTAGTTTATTTAGTGTTTATTTTTAATTATTTTTAATTAGTTTTTCTTCAATTTTTAGATTATTTAAATAAGATTAATTTGTTTTATAATTTAGTAGTTAGTGAAACTTTATGAAAAAAATCTCTGTGAGAATGATACTCTACTTCATCACTATATTACTTGTTCGATATGTATACTTTCATGTGTAAAATCGACAACAAGTTTTTTATGCCGTTACCGGGGATTTATTTTTTTATTTATTTTACTAATATTAATATTCATAAATTAATCTTAAATTGAGTCTTTTTTGTTTTTCAGGTACTTTTAATTGAGGTGATAAATTATTGTAACTATCAATGGCCATCAAAACAATTTGTGCCTAAAAAGAGTCCTTTTGTGACAAGCTATCTTTGTGGAGATGGGCATTCAAGTTGTTATTATCCAGCCTATTATGAATTAATGCAATTTGATGGAAACTTCAATGGGCAGTAACACAATTCATGCTCCAACAGTTACACCTCAAGGTGGAATCATCCATATTGTTTATGGAGTAATGATCAGGGTCTTACATATTCATCACAGCTTCTTTTCCATAATGGTTTTCAATCATAAGTTAAAGCCACTATTCTTAACAAGAAGCCAACTTTGGAAGAGATGTTAATGCAATACATGGCCAAAAATACTGCATACATGGCAAATATGGATACAATCATCCAAAGTAACGAAGCTTTAATGAGAAATATTGAGACATGTGTGAGTCAACTGATTAATGACATCAACAATATGCCTCAGGAAACTTTATCAAATGACACTGAACAAAAATATAATAAGCATCTTTATGAGGTAAATGGCAAGAATGTGGTAAATGATGGAGATAAAGTAGATTAAGAGAATAGCTTCCAACAATCAAGTTCAAAATGAAGAAGTTAAACAAAAGGAGGAAGTATCTACACCATCACAAGTCAAGCCATATATGCCTCTCATTTCCTTTTTGGATATAGTTGATGAGTTACCTAAGGAGTTTGTTGATATGAAAAATCCAAAGATACTCTTTGAAGCTTGTTTGGTTCAAGATGTCACAAAAAAAGGATAAGAATGAAGAATTTACAAATGTTACACATGTTTTTAAGGTGACACTAAAAGTGCATTATTCCAAAAGAACTCAATTTGAAAAGTTGGGTAAAAGTCAGCCTATTTCACTATTTTGGGTTCAGCAAGCACTAAATCTTGAGTTAAAGCCATTACAACCTCATCCTAAGAGGAGATTACTTTCACACCTCAATCTTTTTCCATGCAAATTCAAACCTCTCTAAAGGGTGAATAATGACCACAAATAAAGTCAAGCTATTAACTATAAAGAAGCACTTCTTGGGAGGTAACTCAAGTTATACTTTTTTAGGTTTAGTTGTTATTTTAGTTAGTTCTTATTTTTCTATTTAAATAAGTAGTTTTAACCTTTCCCTAACTTGTTTGTTGAGTTTGTAGGTTTAGAAAGCATGAAGATAACGAGGACTAAAATTAGAGTCTCAATGCATTGTCACCATTGATAGGGGAGTTTCCTTTCCTTATTCTTTTAGCTTTTTACGTTCAGGATAATATGCAATTTAAGTTTGGGAGAGAGTTTTATTGTTATTAGTGTTTGTGATAGTTTAGGTTAGTTTATTTTCATTAATTTTTTTTATGCATGTGCATTTGCATTTGAACTAGATTTAATTGTGCTAGTTTTGTTTAATTTACCTATCAATGATGAGAACTCAATTATATTTCTATCCTAATTTTTCAAAACATGTGAATATTGTTTGAGTGTTATGTAAATTCTCATGCTAAGCTTTATTGTTAGGTTGAAATTTTTACATTTCATCACTATATCTTTTGCTTAGATTTATTGTATGTATTTAAAAAACGTTTTTGTGAGTGCAAGTTTTTGAATTATGTATTAAGTTCTAAAATTTGTTTGATTCTCTCTCAAGACGAAATTCTAGGCTATATTTAATTAGCTTTTTTTTTTACATAAATTATCTTTAGTTTCCCCCTTTGAGCCTAAAGATATCTTTTTTTTCATTTGAACACTTAATTTTTAGCCTAGACCCTTATATTAATATTTCTAACAATTCTTACATCCCTCATTCCTAAGTGCATAAGTGTATTTAGGATACGGTATAAGCCACATAATGAAAGAGGTAGTCAAGATAAAAAAATGATTAAAAGTTCAAATATATGATTGTATTCATCTAACTACCCAATAAAAGAAATAAGTTTGGGGGTGTGAAATTGAAAAAAGTAAAAGGAAAAGAAAGAATGAACTGTTGAATAAAAGAAAAAAGTTTATGGAAAAGAAGTATATTATGTGAAGGAAAAATAAAGCTCTGAATAGGTTTTAGATTGACTATGTGTTTACAGTGATTTGAGCTATACATTATCTTATATCCAACCTTAACCCTAGCCATATATTACAAGCTAATTAAAGTCATATTGATCTTTAACATAATGTTAGTCTACATTAGTGGAGACGGGGATGAAAAGCAAACTTATGGACTTAATTACTAATTTGAAATTTGCATGAATGTAAACTTATTCGGATTGTACAATGTTCTAGGTGAAAAGATTACACACAAACACAGAATTTCACTTAATGTTGAGTTTACATTTAGATTGAAACATGAACTTGAATAATATTTGTGTGTTGCCTAAAATTATGAATATGAATTAACTTTTAAGGATATTAAAGATGATTAATGAAACAGTGCGATTGAATTTTAGTTAAATGTTTCCATGATTAAGTTATTGCATGTTGTTTTATATTTTGCCCAAGAACTAGCAAAATCTTAAGTTTGGGGGTGCGATAACTTTATTATATATAGTTATTTTGATACAATTTTGGAGCTTAAATAGTTAGATCTTTGAGATTTTAGGTATGAATCGTAGCATTTTAGGTGTTTTTCTAGTTTAAGTTTGGTGACATGTTGAATAGTTAATTTAAGTTATTTTAGTTAAATTTTATGTTATTTTGTTTTAAATTACTTTAAAAGTAGTATTGGTAATTTTTCTTATTGCTTTTGTAGGAAGTTTAATGAAAAAGGCTCATTTGATGAAAATCTGTACAAGTATGATGACAGCTTTATTCATATATGTTGCAGCATTTTGACCATATCTCTGTCTACAAAACTCCAAATGAAGTGCTTTTTCAACCACTAGACTTTTAAGAGGAAAAACTACAACTTTTATGTTTATCACTTTACCCAATTTAGATTGGATCATAGTCAAAATATTTGTGTAATGCATACCATTGCAGCAGTACGAATGGACTAAACATGATGCAGTTTTTGAAGCATATCTTTTAATCTAGTAGTCTAATTGAATGATTATTAATCCATTAGAAAGTTAAATGACACGGTTACAACTTTTATATTTTTCCCTTTTCCCAGTTCGGACTAGATCAAGGTGAAAATCGCATTCACATTTGATAGACCATTGTAGCGCTTGTGAAAGAAAGGTCGCCATATAATTTTCTCGAGAGCTCAACGCTGCAACATTGGAGAAGTGGCGTTACAATGCTACTGTAGCAAAAAAACCTACACCGCAGCTCCAAGAAATCATGGCCATGATGTTGGGCAATTTTTCAAAAATAAACAAACTTACGAAATTTTAGAAATAAGATTACTTGGAGCCTATTTAAAGGACCTTTTTCAGAAGTTTAAAGGAAGGGGCAGCAACCAACTATTCAAGAGATTTGAAGCCAAGAACAAAGCAAGAAAACAAGAGAATTAAAGAGAGAATTGGGATTACAAAGCTTCAGCACTTACTTTCTTTATGTTTTTTGTGTTTTTTTTATTTTCTTTGACTTGGATTCATGACTAAATTTCTTTGGATGTTGTTTTTATTAGTTATT